GCAACAAATACATGGAACCACGTGTAAACGCAGTCTTTAAAGAAACACGTGTAAATCTACTCTTCAAAAAATAAACATAGATAAATAAAATAATAAAAAATAAAACGGCATGCAGATCCTGCTTTTTCAAAGAAAAAAGAAAGCACACACACCTATCTTGTCCTGCACGTTGTGTCCTGCGAAGGAGAGGCAGGCCGAGGCGGTGAACTCCTGGCCGGCTTCCGTGAGGACTTCTCGGTCGCTGCTCACGCGCCCGTCCACGGTGGCCACGGGGCGCGTCAGGACCACCACCGCGCCGCCCTCGCCTGCGTACGCGCCCACGCCCAGGTCTGTGGCAGTTGGGAGGAAAGGTAGGGGTTACCATATACTCACACACACGCGCGCGCGCGTATATATATATATATATGTATATATATATATATATATATATATATATATATATATATATATATATATATATATATATGTATATATATATATATATATATATATATATATATATATATATATATATATATATATATATATGTATATATATATATACATACATATACATACATAAGCACACACACACACACAAAACAGAGATAGATGTAGATATAGACAGACAGCTAGATGGTTAGCTTCCAGCGCCTCCGCCGCCGAGCCCAGAGCTTACCTGGGTAGCCATTACCATCCACGTCGACGCCCCTGGACAGCGCCGCCCCGAACCCTCTGAGGGCTTGGCCGAAATCCCGCGCCCTCAGGTGCTGGCTCGCTGTGCCGCCCACGCCATCAGGGCCGCCCATGAAGATGTACACAGCGCCCGCCCCGTCGTCCTCATGCGGTGCGCCCACGGCCACGTCTGGAAGGAAGTGGGTGAGAAAAGGATGAAGCGGAGAGGTGGAAATGCTTTGTGCTAAAATGTGTTCAAGGCGTCATTCAAACGGATTGTGTGCTGCGTTATATAAGTGCCATCCAAGCATATAAGCAAGTGTGTGTGTGTGTGTATATATATATATATATATATATATATATATATATATATATATATATATATATATATATATATATTCTACTTGTAAGTAGGGCCATATAAGTATAATTATCTACTTACAAGCATATAAGCAAGTATATATATGCAGATTCTACTTGTAAGATTATCTACTTACAAACATATAAGCTAGCATATATGAATATATGTGTCCAGTGGCATTCTCAGACCAATTTTCCGAAAATGCGTTTATTAAATGTTTTGTTTATTCGAACTCTCACCTGCAACACCTGCGTTGATATGTTCACGTTAATTGCACTACAATTATAAGATCAATTAATAAACGTATTTCCTGCTCTGAGAACACATTTAGACTCGTGCACCCTCATTTAGTATGTAAAGTAGATGTGCGTATCATCTATTTATAAGCAAGTATATATGCATATTCTGCTTACAAGAAGGGCCATATATGATGGATCAATATATATGTGGTAATGATGAGTATATTTCTTCTTTCTGATAGTTTTATGTAGTATACTGTCAGTAACGGCTCATCAGTACATCCTCAGTAAGTGATTAATTCAACAGTGAATATCAATTAGATTTTTCATTTAGACAAGATTGGAGAAGAAGAAATGCCTAGTTCCTGAAGAGGGTATCTATATTAGGAATGTCAGTGGTGAAGCAGGAACGGTATTCACGAAAGGTTGAAGAATTTTTTTTGACAGAGTTTAGGGCTCTCCTAAAAAACAGTCTTTGATCCAGGATTCGTCTATGACTCGTTTTAAAGACTGTCCTTGGCGATTTTGTCTTTGACTCGTTCTTTGCCATATCAAGATAAAACTGAACTACTGCTAATATTCACATCTTAAACGACAGCAAAAATAATAATGATTCGAGTTATTAAATAAAATCACTATTGCAGTGAATCTCAAGTATATCATGACTAAAATATTACCTTATATTTATATATTTACGAGGCACCCTTTACCTCTGTTGCCATTGCTTCGGCTGAGAAGACACGCGGCGCCATTTGCTTTTATTTAAGGGAAAAGCGCAGTATAGGAGGAAGCGGTTCAATTGATAACAATTTCAAAGTGACAGGAAAGTTTTCCATATTATTTCTGACTTAACTTCAACTATTGTAAAATCGCATTATTGGCATTCCATACTTGTCTTTAACTTTGGCCGAGTCATAGACAAAAACCGGGTGTTAAGGACATTTCCGCGATGATCCCCAGACGAAATCTCAAAATCAAATTAATTCTGCCAGAGACAAATTTCGGAATCTATAACCTTTCGTAAATACCTCCCCCACTCCCCACCCCCACACCCCCACATCCCATCTCCCACGCACCCTGAAACCCGTCGCGGTCGATATCCCCGATGACGGCGATGGCGGCCCCGAACCTGGCGTGAGGGGAGGGGGGACTGGCCCTCAGGTGGTCGTGGAAAACCAGACCCTCGGCGGCACCTCGCTTGTACACGAACACTGCTCCTCTCTCTACCGTTTCCACGGCCCCTCCTGAAGGTGCAGAGTGGGACGGTGAAGGAACAAGAGTGTCGGAGAGTTGTAGAGAATGTGGATAGAATGAGTTAAGAGTTCTTGATTTATTATGTGTGATGCAGATGGAAAGTGGGGAAAACATTCCACAATGGCGACCATAATGCGTTTAGTTGCAGTTCATGGTGTATCTTGATAATTCACAATAAAACATTGTAATATTAATTGGTAACTATCATTTGAATTTACGGTGATTTGAATAGTAAGTGTTGATTCTTCAGCCATATGGAATGTGAAGAGTGGATATTTCTTTATACATTGTATAATAGTATACCTAGGATATATTTCTTAAAAAAAATTATTATGTATTGTGTAAAATATAAAAGAGAAAAGCATCAACAGCTTCCATGATAGACATACAAATTTTCAAAATGAATATGACCAGTATGACTGAGAGAATTTTTTTTCATTAGAAGTGGACTCCATTCCCTTCCTCATTAATCATCCAGTAACTTTTATCCATAATGATTCTTTGCTAAGATCTGTAAAGTCAAGATGTGTATAAATCGCAAGCAATTCCCTGGTCCTAAGATCCTGAGAATTCCCGAGATCTAAGAGGGAAAAAAAAAACAGGATCTCGCTTTACTTCAAGATCCATCTGCCTCCTCTCAAAGCTCTTAGGTGAGGTATTTATTCATATTATTCCATTTTGATCAATTATTACATTCGACATCATATGACACCAAGGACAATTTTTGCGTACCATTCATTTGTCCTGGATTCCGACTTACAAGCCGCTTTACTGGTCTTTAAAACTATGTCTCAAAAACCAGCGCACAAACCTTTCGGTGTTCGATCGCTATAGAGAGGGGCTCCGACGAACAGCTCTGCCCAGCCGTCGCCCGTAACGTCGCCGGCCGCTACTACGGATCCGAAGCCAGAGCCAAGCATGGTTCCGGACACCTCCCACTTTAAGACGCCAGTTGTGCTTAAAAGGCTTACCTGTTAATAAAAGTAAAATTATCTACGGCGCTGGTTCTTTACTGGACTTCGAGCCACGTGACAAACAACCACGTGGTCTATGGCTCACACAAATCGTGCTTATGTACACAATATACACAGTATGTATATACATTCATATTTACATAATGTGTGTGTGCACGTATATGTATATATCATTTTTTTCTTTCCGTTTCTGTTGATTTCTGGCTAAGACCTGACCTTGCCCTGTATATCCGCCCTGGGTGCCCCCGCGACTATGAACTCCTCGCTGCCCCAGAATTTGCCAGACGTCACGGTGTAGCCTGAGGATCGCATAATAACATGGAAGTGATGTGATGAGAAAGAGTAAGGTTAGAAATAATGATGAGAAAGATATTTTAAGGCCGATACGTTAAATGATGGTAAAAATAGGATTAAATAGAAGTAATGGTGATAGTAATATCAAGCATGCTGAGTTTTTTATCTAATCTGAGAGAGATATCAATAATATATACATAGGTAGGCGAGAGCGCGCATGAATACCTTCATATGCACCTTTCAATTTTAAAAATGAAAGCCTATCCTGTACATCTTTCAAAAATGGAGGAACATTTCGACTGAGGAGGAAACATTCATAGGAAATCCCTGATATAAAAAAAATATAATACTAATTTATAAACAATACGTGTATGTGCATAATGAGAGCAATTGCCTATATTTTATCTGCGGAACACTTTGATTCACTATTTCTTTTAAGATAAGAAAGTGGTGTATTGAAGGCAGTAAATTCCAACAAAATAACGATGAAGTATATCATAGACAAGTTTTTAAAAAATACAAAATACATGTCAACGCAATTTCAAGTGTCAGCTGACCAGAATAAAAAAATAAAGAAAATTGACGAATCGAAGTGCTCAGGGATACAGGTTGAGTTGCCAGTTTTTTATATTTCTTTCCTGAGATTTATCATATTTTCTTTACTTCCAATCGTATTTCCATTTATTCATTTACATTCTCCCTTTCCCAAACTTACCAAAATACGAGTAACTGTCATATGACTTGACGGGTGTGAGAACAGTCGACTCAGCGATCGTTGTCCATATTTCGCCCCGTTGTACCGTTGCGACCGTACCTGCGGGATGAAATTTTACTTGACGATTAAATTTTGTTCATCATCATCATCACCATCATCATCGTCTTCATCATCATCATCGTCTTCATCATCATCATCGTCGTCATCATCATCATCAATCATCATCATCATCAATCATCATCATCATCATCATATCATCATTATCATCATCACCATCATCATCGTCTTCATCATCATCATCAATCATCATCATCATCATCATCAATCATCATCATCATCATATCATCATCATCATCATCGTCTTCATCATCATCATCATCACATCATCATCATCATCATATCATCATCATCATCGTCGTCATCATCATCATCAATCATCATCATCATCACCATCATCATATCATCATCATCATCAATCATCATCATCATCTCATCATCATCATCATCAATCATCATCATCATCTCATCATCATCATCAATCATCATCATCATCAATCATCATCATCATCATCATCATATCATCATCATCATCATATCATCATCATCATCGTCTTCATCATCATCATCACATCATCATCATCATCATAGTCATCATTATCATCATCATCATCATCGTCTTCATCATCATCACCATCATCATCGTCTTCATCATCATCATCATCGTCGTCATCATCATCATCAATCATCATCATCATCATCATCATCACCATCATCATATCATCATCATCATCATCATCGTCTTCATCATCATCATCATATCATCATCATCATCTCATCATCATCATCATATCATCATTATCATCATCACCATCATCATATCATCATCATCATCGTCATAGTCGTCATCATCATCATCAATCATCATCATCATCATCGTCTTCATCATCATCATCGTCTTCATCATCATCATCGTCTTCATCATCACATCATCATCATCATCGTCTTCATCATCATCATCATCGTAATCTTCATCATCATATCATCATTATCATCATCATCATCGTCTTCATCATCACATCATCATAATCATCACCATCATCACTATCATCACCATCATCATCGTCTTCATCATCATCACAGTCGACTCAGCGATCGTTGTCCATATTTCGCCCCGTTGTACCGTTGCGACCGTACCTGCGGGATGAAATTTTACTTGACGATTAAATTTTGTCTTTTCTGGTGTTGGCAAATACTCTTTATCTTATCTTATCTCATATCATTATCATCATCATCATCATCATCATCATCATCGTCTTCATCATCATCATCATCGCCTTCATCATAATCATCATCGTCTTCATCATCATCATCGTCTTCATCATCATCATCATCATCATCATCATCGTCTTCATCACCACATCACCGTCATCATCATCATCGTCTTCATCATCATCACCATCATCATCGTCGTCATCATCACCATCATCATCACCATCATCATACCATCATTATCATCACCATCATCATATCATCATCATCATCGTCTTCACCATCATCATCGTCTTCATCATCATCATAGTCTTCATCATCATCATCATCATCATCATCGTCTTCATCATTATCATCGTCTTCATCATCATCATCATCATCATCATCATCGTCCTCATCATTATCATCAACATTATCATTATTATCATCCTTACTATTATTATCATAATTATTTTAGTATCATTTTGCTACGATGTCGTGTAAATCCATCCATTCGTGTTATCAGTGCTAATCAGATTATTTTGCGATAACCAGCTGTTAAGAGATTATGCAAATGAAGAAGTGAAGAAGTGGTGATGGGCGGGATATATTTCAAGTTAAAATGAAAATATTTGAGTCATTTTTTGAAAGCAAATTAGAAACCTAGAAAGGGACACATAAAAAAGGCGAATTTTAAAAGTCGGCTGAACTTCACTAAAATATAGTAAGGCACAATAGATAGGAAAAGGAGATAGAAAATGTAGTGAATTATCTATCTATCTATCATCTATCTAGCTATCTTCTATCTATATATCTATTAATCAGTCTATCTGTCCATCAATCTGCTAGTCTAGTGCACCTATCATCAAACTCTATGTAATATTGGGTAGAGCATCGTTATTTTTAAGTCTTAATACAATATTGCATACTCAAGATATGTGTAAATCTATATACATCAAAACAGACGAAGAAATATATATATATACATATGTATATATACGTATGTATGTATGTGTGTGTGTGTATAGACAGATAGATAGATAGATAGATAGATAGATAGAGAGAGAGAGACAGACAGACAGACAGACAGACAGACAGAGAAAAAGCGAATGAGAGAGAAACCTTACCTGCCCATTGCTTTACACCAGGAGCACCTAATACAAATCTGCCGTCCTGTAGTAAAAAATAATAGATCCAAGAAATTAATCAAATTAAAACACACACTAAAAATGATTATTTCCTCGCTAAGGTATCATCAATTTACATAAACGCCCTTTAAGTCAGCTTATACCTAACAAACCTCAATCCTTTCAAATCCAGTTACAGGACACGAAATAACATATGATAAAAATGACATAGCGTTATGGTTGAGGTAATAAATGCCATTTATTTGGGACTGAAAAAAAATACTGTAATAATTTATACAGGGTAGAAATTATTACATAACGGATGGTTCCTACTCACTTGCAGGATGTGGGCGGAGGTCCCCACCTGACCCAGCTGATAATAGTAGATAGTTTGTCCCGTTTCTGGATCCTGTATACGCTGGGAATCTGGAAGGAACGTGAGACATCAAAGACTATGCGTTTGTCAGAATTAATTAGGTAGTTTAAAAAAAAAGAGTCAAAGTTGGTGTTAGGTCTATTTGGACGTGAGGATATGCTTGTTTAGATATGTGTTCTATGTAGGTCTCTCTCTCTCTCTCTCTCTTTCTCTCTCTCTCTCTCTCTCTCTCTCTCTCTCTCTCTCTCTCTCTCTCTCTCTCTCTCTCTCTCTCTCTCTCTCTCTCTCTCTCTCTCTCTCTCTTCTTTCCGCACCGACTTTGACCCCAACATGTTGATGTTAGCGTGCCAGTACTCACTATACTTGAGGCGACTGAGGAGAGCAGGCTGATTATGCAAATTGCAATATAACAAGGGTTCATATATCATTATTTGTCGTAGACGTTGCAAGGTGTGTGTATGCAATGCTCCATCAAAAGCTTTTTAACAGATATGCAAATGAAATATTTTATCGAACGAGGAAGTAACTTTATCTCGACCTCACCTACATAAACGAGGCTTCACTGAATTCACAATACACGGGGAAATAACACGTATACAAGGGACCATTCATTCACTACTCATGTACTACACTCAGAAATGTACTTTCTAAAGTCTTTGTGTGTTTAGAATGTACTTACTAAAGTCTCTGTGTACTTAGAAACGTACTTTCTAAAGTCTTTGTGTACTTTGTACTCAACAACTCTCTGTGTAATTAGAAATGTACATACTAAAATCTTTATGCACTGAGAAATGCACTTACTTAAGTCTTTATGTACTTAGAAATGTACTTACTAAAGTCTGTATTTACTTAGAAATGTAGTTTCTAAAGTGTTTGTGTACTAAGCAATGTACTTATTGTAGCATTTGTGTACTTAGAAATGTACTTACTGTAGTCTACAAGAGGGAGGAGCTTCTTCCAAAGATCAGGCTGGAAATCTTGCTGTAACAGATCTTGGAAGTCGGCCCAGTAGCAAGCGCCGTTCATGAAGTAATCGTCACTGGGCAGATATAATTGATTGATCCAACGGTGGGCGCAGGTCTGTTGTTCATACAGGTGGGAGGTTACGTTTGTGTATGTTTTCTATTTATGTGTTTGTCTGTTTAGATTCATATATGTTTGTGTTTGTATTTATGTTTATATGTTTATACTTGTGTGATCATATGATTATATTTATATGTGTTTATATTTATAGGTTTATATTTATATGTGTTGATATGTTTATATTTAGTAAGTTTATATTAATAAATGTTAATATGTTTATATTTACTGTTTATATTCTTTACTTGAGTCTTGACGAACGCGTGTATGTGTGTATGTCCTTGCATATGTATCTGTGCATATAAGTGTGTGTGTCTGTGCAAATGCGCGCGTGTGTGTGTATTCACTTCTGTATGCACGTGTATGTATCTTTGTATATGTGTTTATGTGCGTGTGTGTGCGTATACTTACCGTGATAATTTTCGTATAGCCACTCCCGTGCAGATCGAGCGAAACCCCGAGCCAACTGTAGTCCTTCCTGTCTCGGTAACTCTCGATTCCTGATACCATTCCGTTCCCTGGAAGACAGAGAGAAAGACGGATTGTTTACTTGAGAGAGCGAGAGAGAGAGAAAAAAAAACTGAGGTTGTGAGGTATTCACTTATTCACTTACTCACATGCTCACACACTTTTATTCATTCGTATGCTTACTCGCTCGCATAATTACATACTCACACAGAAACTCATATTCTCTTTCATTCCCTCCTTTATTACACTTACTCCCTTCCTCACGTACTCCCTCATATCTTCATCCCCCTCCATTCCTCCCTCCCTTCCTCACCCACTACTTCCCTCCCTCCCTCCCTCCCTCCTTTCCTCACTCCCTCACCCATTCCCTCCCACCCACCCACCCACCCTCACCCACTCTCCCTCCCTCTCACCCACCCTCACCCACTCCCTCCCTCCCTCCCTCCCTCCCTCCCTCCCTCTCTCCCTCCCTCCCTCACCCACCCCCTCACTCACCTGACTTATCAACAAGGATCTGAGAACAGGTGGAGGAGGAGGAGGCATCTTCGAGCGGACACACGTAAAGGGCCCCTGGTTCCGGTATCTCCGCGGGACTCCAATCTGCCTGGGTACTGTTGGCACGAGGGGCGCTCACGATTATCCTGTGGGGAGGGGGAGGGGGGAGGGGGGGAGGTGAGAGAGGGGATATATATATATACATACACAAACACACATAATAAGTATAAATTGGAGTCTTTCTATCTAGTACTCTTGTTCTATAGACATTGGTATCACTACACTACGCATAACAAGTGATAACTGTATCTGAAAGGATGACAAACACTGAAAGGGCCACGGAAGTTATTATATATAGGGGGGGGGGGGATAACAGAATAGAACCACCGGTCTTCTGCTTGATGCAATAGAGTGACTTTCCCAATAAATAATGATAATAATAAGGTAGAAATAAATGAATAAATAGATACATGAATAAATAGACTGAGATATATAAATAAGTAAATAGAGAAATAGGTAGATAGATAATGATTTAAAAAACTTACGTGCTGCAATTAAGGGAAAGAGAGAAAGGAGAGGAGAGAATGGACGATAAGAAAGAGGGATAGAACGAGTAAGAATGAGAAGAAGAAGGAAAATGAGAGTAAGAGTAAAAATGTGAAGAAAGAAAACGTGGCAAAGAATAAAAGGAAGGATGAAAGAGCGGATAAGAATA